GCAGTGTGTGAGTATGGGGGGAGATGTGAGGGTGGGAGTGTATGTGGGGTTTGTGGGGAAGGTGTGTGTTTGGAATTTGTGGGTGGTGTGAGGTTTGGGGGGGGCATCTGTGGGGGGTGTGGGAGATTGTGTGGATGGGTGTGGGCCCCCCCTGCTACATGCCCCCCTCATAGTGCACATCCCCTGCTGATGGCGGTGAAGCAGCAGGCCGCAGGCCCTTGGGGTGGTCATGGCCCACAGTGGGCAGAGGCCCACCGTGGCTCCAGCTGAGGCCCTGGAACTGCACATGGTGACGCGGAGCCCGCCTGGCCCAGGCAGCCATCGTGTACATTCAGGCTGAACCAGGCTGGCTGCATGCCACCATGTACAGCTCCTGGGACTCAGCTGGAGCTGCGAGCCACTGGGCTGGGCTGGCTCCATGTCTCCACATGAGGCTTCCAGCACTTCACTGGGGAGCCACACGTGGAGGCACGGAGTCCACCCAGCTCAATGGCACACGGACCACAAGCCACAGGGAGTCTCTCACCATCAGGCTGTATTTTGCCTGCCCCTGTGTTAGGGTGATTTTGATGATAACGAGTGAAGAGGAAACAGGACAAGTTGTAGGGTGAACTGTATTTATAAGGAAAGTTTTGAAACCACAAGGGAAAAGAGCTGGTTTAAGAGATTTCCCAGAGAAGAGTCAGAGGTAAGCTCTTTAGAAGAACAAGTGAGAACCACCACCAGGGCTATCAATGAAACAATGCATCAATGTATGTATTTTCATAAGATATAGAACTTAAGAACATACACCATAAGGTGTATTAATACATATGTGCATAGCTGAGCACAGTCCTACTCACTGTGTTCCTACACATAGGTAAATTGGGGGCAAAATATGGGACACAGACGCAGATTGGTCCCAGCTCTGGTGCGAGATGCGCAAGTGTAAGCCCGCTGCACTGCCGTGAGCCCAGAGACCCAGAGAGACCCCAGGACCACTGATGAGCCCCGGCCTGCCCCAGGTAAGCAGGGGCCCATGAAGGGAGGGACCTAGATAGCTGGGAGTGGGCTAAGTGGGCCGAGGAGGGTCATACCCCCCACCCCGGCTCCTACTTGGCCCAGCCCCCCCAGGGAGCCGTGCAACTGAGCTGCCAGTGTGCAAGCCAGGTTAGTGGGGGGAGTACCCACCTTTCCTTCCCTCGGAGGTGGGGAGGAACCCCACTTAGCTCCTCTAGCCCCCTAAAAGTAGTGAGGCACCGGCCGGCCCTTCTGCACATGCGCACAGTTTAAAAAGGGCCCAGCAACGGCACAAGCCTCAGTTTGGTCCTGGCTCCAGTGCGAGACACATGGGTGTAAGCCTGCTGCACCCTTGTGAGCCCAGGGACCCCCAGGGAGACCCCAGGACCCCTGATGAGCCCCAGCCTGCCCCAGGTAAGCAGGGACCCATGGAGGGAGGGACCTAGACAGCTGGGAGCAGGCTAAGTGGGCCAAGGAGGGTCACACCCCCTGCCTGGCTCCTACTTCACCCAGCCCCACAGAGAGCCACATGACCGCAGCCTCGCGAACAGGCTGCACAAACAGGCATGCTCTTAGGCCCGACGCACGAGTTAGCGTGGGAGTTTGAACAGGAGGGCAAGTGGGAGGGCCTGTGGCCCTACCTGTGAGCCCCCCTAGGGAAGCCAGTCCCAGCCGTAGCCAGCGCACCAGCGGCATGATGCGGATGGGCATGTGCTGCACCCCGAGGGTCCCTGAAGGGTCTGCGGCCCCCACCCCGGCACCTCAGAGTCTGCCCCCCCAGACACAGCCCATGGTTCTGGGCTTCACACAGATGGAACCTCTGACTCTTGGCTGCGGGGGCTGCCTGTCACTTTTTCAGGCTCTGGGGTCCGGGAGCATGGCCACCTCCCCTTGTGGGGTCTGCTTCCTACTGGGGTCTCTGGTGCACCATCTGGAGGAGCTCCAGGCTGCAGTCCAGAGACTGCGTGCCATCAGGAACTGTGAGCAGGAGATCGACTCCTACTGCCAGGTCCTTCTCCCCCAGGAGGCAGAGGGCAGACCACGGCTTCCCTCCAGGACAAGGGAGGACTCAGGGACCTCCCATTCTGTCCAGCCCAGGGGTTGGACCAAGGTGGTCAAGGGCCCCAAGGTCTGCTCTGAACCAAGGCCCCCACCCCACTGGAGCTTTGCAACAGGTACAGACCTCTTGTAGCCCTAGCAGAGCCTGCTGAGTTGCCAGCTCTTGCAGGCAACACAGGCGCTACTGTAGCTACCACCCCCGCTCTCTCCAAGACAAAACACAAAGTGTTTGTCAT